GGGAGCTGCCGGCGGGCAGCTGTGCCCCTCAGGCTCCATCCCCGGGCGCTGCAGCACGTCCTGGGGCGGGTGGGAAGGTTGGGGTGGGCAGTGGGGCTGAGCAGAGCCCCGGGACACTGGCAGGCTGTGCACACACCCGGACAGCAGGAGGGTGGGGGGATGGCGGGGGCCATCCGTCCCTGCTTTGGCACGGATACCCCCACGGTGGCTTTTGATTCTGTCTGGGGACTGCGCTGGAGCAGCTGAGTAGCACTCACAGCCTCTGACCCTCCAGCTCTGCTTGGGGACTGTCAAATGCGGGAGAGAAGCTTCAGTGGCTCAGCATGTGCTGGAGGAGCTGGATCTGTCTCCGGAGGAGGCAGCTGCTCTGCGGGAAGCCCTGGGGTTGGGTTTTTCCATCCCCTGGCTCCTGTCCTGCTCCCTTTGACAGTGTGACTCAGATGAGGGTGAGGGGGCTGCGTGCCGGGCTGTGGCGGGCTCAGGACATCTCTCACACCTTGGGGTGAACCAAAGAGGTCTGTCCTTGCATCCACACTCCCAGGATCTTCCCTGTGCTGGAAGAGATCACCTTTTTGCTGTGTGCAGAGGGAAGGCACAGTTTCATGTGGCCGGGGCAGGCATGGGCATGCTTGGACCTCACCGGGAGCCTGCAAGGGCTGTCACTGGGACAGATCAACTTAGCTCCAAAATCTCAGCACGTTTGTGGACCTGGGGGCTGCAACCAGCTCCCTTGAATGCTGCCTCCCTGTACACGTGTGCAGGGTGCACAGAGGACAGCCCTGACAGTGGCACCAAGCTCATCCCTGTCCCAGGGTAATGTCTCTCTCCACTCTTCCAGCCTCAGTTTCTCTCCTTCCACACTGGCTTCTCAAAAACATCCCCTTCTCTATCCACTCACCTGGTGCATTGCAGGGGCATGGGGGCAGGTGAGCACCTGGCACGGTGACCCTGCAAAGTGGCCATGCTGGGCTGCATGCTACCAGGATGGTGCAGACAGATGGGTGACTGGGGTTGTTTCCCCACTGATTCCCTGCAGGTCATGGGGTGCAGGAGGGATGAGAGCATCCTGGATGGAGGCATGGGGTTGTGCAATCCCGCAGGCATGAAGGCACCCCCTCTGCAGGGTGATGGTGCCATCTTTCTGTTTGTGAGTGTGGGCACCCTGAGCCCTGGGCTAGTAGGTCGGTGTCCCCCAGCACAGCAGATGCAGGAGGGTGCAGGCACTGGCAGTGAGTCCTTGTGGTCCAAGCCCTGCAAGAAGGGCAGGTGCTGGGAATGTGCAGCCCTGGTATTGGGCACTGCTGCCTTTTGCTCTGTGACTCCAGCAAACCATAAAGTCCCCAAAAGCATGGGCAGGCAGTCTCCACTTGCCCTGGGGACAGCTGAACAGCCACTGCCAGCTCCACACCTGGCATGTCCCACAGGAGTGAGGCCACAGCCCCAGGCAGTGCTGTGCTGGGGATCTGTGCTGGCCATCCCCACACCAAGCAGGGGACAGCCACCATCTGGCCCCGGAGCCTGCCAGGGTCTGGCAGCAGGGCTTGGCAGCTGCCTGCATGCTGACGGCACCAGCTATTCCCAGTCCTGCACTGCCAGTGCCTGTGCTGAGTCAGGGGCCTGGGACACAGCTGTTAGCTCTGTGCCCCAGCATAGAGTTCTTTGCCCCCAGAGATCCCCAGGTCCCCTCCTGCACCCAAATCCCAGCCCAACAACTGCAGCATCTGCTCCTCGAAGGCCCAGCTCCAGCATCTGGGTGGGGTGACAGCCACATCCAGCGATTTGTCAGTCTAATTAAAGCCTTAACAGCCTAATCAAAGCCATACAGTAAGTCCAGTTGTATTTATAGTCCCACTCGCCGCAGTGTGCTCCCTGTACGGCTGCCAGCATGATTGCAGCTCACATTGCCCAAGGAGAAGGGGCTGGTGGAACTGAGGGTTCTGCTCTGAGTCCCTTTCCTTGCATCTCACAGCCTTGTCTCTCTCTTACTTCCAAGTTTGCTGTTTTCAGGTCATTTCCCAGGTTGTGGGGACTATTTCTGGGCACCCTCAGGGCAGTTTTTTTCCAGCTGCCAGGGCTGTTTATGCCATGGGAGCAGTGACCTGGGAGCAGCAGGGGCTCCAGTATCTGCTGGGCTGTGGGGCAGCTGTACTCACAAGTTTTGCTGTTTTTCCTCCAACACCTTTTGAGCTCTGGCTTCCCGGTAACACACATTAATATTTCATGAGCACGGCGGGTGAACTCGACACTTAAGGAAGGCAGTGACCCAGCAGGAGACAGGCGCAGGTGCACTCGCACACAGGCAGGGGCACACGCACCTTGCACACCTGTGGGGACGGCCAGAGCCCACCCGGTAGGACACAGGCACAGTGGGGGGGCCCAGCCCTGCTCCCCTCAGCTGCTGTCTCTCTTCTCTTCCCAGCAACCACCAGCCTGGAGGAGGCAGAGCCATGGCATCGCTGCTGTGCAACGCCCGTGAGTGGCCCAGCGAAGGGGAGGTGCAGGGCAGGGCACTGGGCCATCTGGATTTGTGCCAGGGCTAATCTGGCCCATGGGTTGAGCTTGCCTTACTGCGTTCTGGAGCATCCCTTTCCCAGTGCAGCCACTGGGATTCAGGCTTGGCAGCACAAGGGGTGGGTGGGAAGGGTTGGTGGGGATTTACCTTCTCCTCTTTTGGGGAGTTTGGGTTCTATCCCTTCTCCATCCCAAATCGAGGGACCATGTGGGGTCTCCGGGGGCGGGAGGGAACAAGGTAGCAGGGAACAAGCTCTCAGTGATGCAGCCCACACTGCTCCCAGGCATCCAGCTCACAGACACACTGGAGCAGATGCAGCAAGGGACGCTGATGCGCAAAGTCAAGTCCAAGAACTGGAAGAAGCAGCGTTACTTCAAGCTACAGGATGACTGCATGACCATCTGGTACCAGTCCAAGAGGACAGGCAAAATTGAGTCTGCCTGTGAGTACTGGCTGGGGCCATCAATAGGGTTCAGAGTGAACAGCAATCTGATTATTTGGAGATTCTTGGGGCTTTGTTTGCAAAGGGTGTTGTGGCATTCAGATGAGGCTCTGTGTGCACTTCTCATCCACATTTCTCCATGAAGTGGGACCCATGGGTCACAAGGGCTGAGTAAAAGTTGTAGCTGATACAAGCAGAAGGTCTGGCATGCCAGTGGAGGAGTAGGTAGGCAGAGGGATGTGTAGCTCAATGGGTGGATGGATAAACCATGGGTGGGTGGGTGGGTGGATGGACAGATGATAGCTCTGTGGGTGGATGGGTCTTTGAGTGGAAAGAGAGTTGGCTGGAAGGACAGATGCCTGTGGGCAGTGCCCCCTGCCCTGTGGTCCCTGTCCCCCACAGATGGGCCTCCCTTCCCTCTGCCCCAGTCTCCATCAGCGACGTGGAGACGGTGCGGGAGGGGCACCAGTCTGAGGTGCTGCAGAGCCTGGCTGAGGAGTTTCCCCCCGAGCGCTGCTTCACCATTGTCTTCTATGGCCGCCGGGGAAACCTGGACCTCATTGCTGGCTCAGCAGAGGAGGCGCAGTGCTGGATCCAGGGCCTGCACCAGCTCATCGAGGTGGCCACCAGCATGGACCAAAGGGAGAAGATAGACCAATATCCTTCCTACGAGCACATTGCCCTTCACACCCAGTCCTTCCCACATCTCCTGCCATTCCCCAGGCCCTTTGTCTCCAGTCTTGCCCCAGTATGTGCTTAGCTCTTCTGAGTCTCACCATCTGCATCAGGGCAGGAAGAGCCCACAGAAAGAGGAAAAGAGGCCTTCTGATGCTCCCCAGTTCCATCTATCTTAGCCAAGTCCTTTCCCTTAACATCTGCCCTGGTTTCTCGCACATGGATTCGTGACTGGTTCCAAAAGGCCGACAAGAATAAGGATGGGCGCATGAACTTCAAGGAGGTGCAGCGTCTCCTCAAGATGATGAATGTGGACATGAATGAGGATCATGCCCTGCGGCTCTTCCAGGTAAGCATTGTAGCTGAGGGTCTGGAGTGGCTGGGGAAGGGCTGGAGGGCCTGGAACAAGCTGCACAATATCACCCTGCAGAAGGATGTGGTCACTGTCTTCCATCTGTCCATCCATCCATCCATGTAATGATCCATCTATCCATCTGTCCCTCCATCTGTTTGTCCATCTTTTCACGCATGGACCCATCCATCTATGTCCACCTCTCCCTCTGTGCCCTCCCCTAAGACTGGGCATATCACCACACGGACCCATGGGGAGGCTGGGGCACCCCATTTTGCCCCAGCTGTGCACTGAGTGACCTCCCTTGCAGGATGCTGACAAGTCAGAGTCAGGAACACTGGAAGGAGAGGAGTTTGTGCTCTTCTACAAGGCCCTGACACAGCGTGAGGAGGTGCTGAGCCTCTTCCAGGACTACTCTGAGGATGGGAAGAAGCTGACGTTGCTGGAGCTGGTGGATTTCCTGCGGCAGGAGCAGTTGGAGGACGAGGGCACAGAGGAGCTGGCCATGGAGCTCATCGACAAGTATGAGCCATCAGAGACAGGTGAGAGCCAGCCCAGACCATCAGCTGTGCTCTGTGTGTGGGGAGGGAGCTGAGACCCAAAGCCCCACCATGAGGCACCTGCAGCCCCATCCTGCTGCGGGTGGTCACAGGGGAGTGGTGTGATCTGGGTGCAGTTCCCCTTTTTTTTTTTTTTTGTAAGTGCCTGGACCATTTGGGTGGAGGTGGTTGACCAGCCATGAGGTGTAAACTCTCGCTTTGGGGTCTGCTGCCCACCTCACCAAGGCTGCTGCCCTGGGGCATCTTTCCCTGTGCCCCAGCCTCAGCCAGCAGCTGTACCCACCAGATGGGGGATGCTGGGAGCCACCAGCAGCCCCATTTACCCACATCCTTTCCCCTGGGGGTCCTTGGCTGTTGCTGAGTCTTCCCCTCTGCCTGCAGCCCGGGCTCGCCACGTGCTGAGTGCTGACGGGTTCCTCATGTACCTCTGCTCCCCGGAGGGCTCCATCTTCAACCCCCATCACCAGGAGCTGTGGCAGGACATGACTCAGCCACTCTGCCACTACTTCATCTCCTCTTCCCACAACACCTACCTGATAGAGGACCAGATCCGGGGCCAGAGCAGCATTGAAGGCTACATCAGGTAAAGGGGCTTCTCCATCCCAGATGCCCTCCAGCACCCTCCTGCAGCACTGCCATGTCCTGGGAAGCTCTGTGGGGCAATCCCAGAAGCTCCTTTGTCTCCTCCATGGTTCAGCACCCCTGTGGCCATGTGATGTGGTGTCCAGCAAGGAGGTCCATTGTGGGGATGCTGAGCCCAGCTCTTCCTGCCCTGCATACAGCCACCTGTCCACTCTTGATTCTTGTCCCCTGGTCCCTGCAGGGGTGACACCCACAGGAAAGGGCAGGGGACTGGTGACTTTGGTGGGCATGGGATCCCAGGGGTGACCACTCACCCATAGGGCTCTGAAACGGGGCTGCCGGTGTCTGGAGGTGGATTGCTGGGATGGGCCAAATGGAGAGCCCATGGTGTACCACGGCCACACCTTCACCTCCAAGATCCCTTTCCGGGAGGTGGTGAGCACCCTGGAGAAGTATGCCTTCAAGGTAGGACACCCTTCCCTGAGTGCTGGCTGTCATGGGGGGACAAGACTGTGATTTGGGGTGGTGATGAGTGTCTGGAAGGCTAGAGGTGTTGAGGCTTACACAGCTAGTGCTGCAAGTCTGACCCCACTGCAGGTGAGGAGGGTGGCTATGTTCCTTCCTGGGGGATAGCACTGGGGTATCTGATCCACAGCTCTGCACTGTGCTGTGCCAAGGGCCAGGGGCTCATGCTGCCATGATCTGCCAGGGGTGCAGGGATGAGATGGGACCTGGGAGATGCAGGGGTGAGATGGAATTGGGGGAATGCTGGGGGACTGGAAGAGTATGAAGGTCTCAGGGGGATACAAGGATACAGTGGCTCCATTCTGGTACTGATCATGCTGGTGCAAGGCCCTTGTGAGAGCTCCTCAAGCCCACCAAGGGTTGTGCACATTGGTTTCCAGACCTCAGACTACCCGGTCATCCTGTCCCTGGAGAACCACTGCAGCATGGAGCAGCAGGAGGTCCTGGCCCAGCAGCTCAAGGCCATACTGGGAGAGAAGCTCCTCACCACCACCACCGATGGGCGGGTCCCCACCCAGCTCCCATCCCCAGAGGTAGAGACAGAGCGTGGCTAGTGCAATGCCCCAGTGCGGGCATTGCTGTCCTGCCTGTGGGTTGAGAAGGTGGCTCTGCTGTCCAGCGGAAAAGCCACCCATGTCCCACCATTGCTCCATTCTGCTGGAGCACTTGAGGACCCTGGGGACACTGTGTACTCGTGATCACAGGGGTCCCAAAGCTCTTCTCAAGTTGTCTCCTGATGTCCTGCAGACCCAGACAGTGGGGCAGAGCCCTCCTGCCCCAACCTCTGGGTGCTGAAGGGAGCTGGTGGTGCTTGCCTCCAACAGCATGGGGGCCCAGGGAACAGCAAGTGCAATGGAGGAGATGGGCATCCCAAGGTGCCTACCTGTTCATCTCCAACCCCACAGGAACTGAAGCACAAGATCATGCTGAAGGGGAAGAAGATTGGGCGGCTGGAGGACACGCTGGATGGGCCTGGGGATGAGGCACCTGATGTGTCTGATGATGACAATGGGGCAGAGGCGGAGGAGGAGAGGCGGAGGGCAAAGGTGGGTGGTCTGGGCTGGGGACCAGCTGTGAGCACTGAGCCCCTGAACACAGCTATGGGCTGTGGTGACATCCTAGTGCTGAGGGGAGAGGCAGAGACTAGTGGGACATCACCCAGCACAGGGGACAGCCCTTTCTGCCCTTGGCCATGCCAGCCCCCTTTTTGCACAGTGTCCCTATGGTGGCAACATGTTGGGGCCTCCTGCCTGTTTCCTGGAAGGAAGGCTGCCCATGATAGGGATTATCCAACCCCCAGCACCCTCCAGCTGCTTTTGGCTGTCCTGGGCTCTACAGCCCCCATTCTGGTTAAGTGCTGGGGGATGGCGCTGCCATCAGGAGGGGCACAACACAACTCTGCCTTGCAGAAGGACAGGGAGAGCCTGGCACAGGAACTGTCTGACTGCGTCATCTACTGCAAGAGTGTGTCCTTCCGGGGCTTTCAGGAGGCTCGCAGCCATTCCCGACCCTCCGAGATCTCCTCCCTCTCTGAAGCCAAAGCCAGGAAGCTCATCCGGGATGTGGGTGAGGTGGAGAGGGCAGTGGCACCAGGGGACCGGGCCCCGGTGGAGGGGACAGGCAGCTTCCTTGGGTGTAGGGCTAGAACCTTCAGACACTGGTGTTCCTTCCCTGTCCAGGAGAAAGAGGGTCCAGCAGGGATTTGGCTCTGGTGGGTGAGAGGAAGGTTATTGGCTTAAAAAGTAAGGCAGGACGCCTGGGTTCCTGGGAGGGGAGAGAGAGGGGCGAGAATTGGTGGGTGAATGTATGGGTGGGTAGATGGGTGGAGTATGGATGGCTGGACGGATGAAAGGATGTATGGATGGGCAGCACATGTTGTAGGTGGCTGTGCAGCCCCAGGAATGACCCCTCAAGTGGCCTTCATGCTCCATCCCCAGGGAATGAGTTTGTCCGCCACAATACCTGGCAGCTGACACGCATCTACCCCAGCGGGATGCGAACAGACTCCTCCAACTACAGCCCCCAGGAGATGTGGAATGTGGGGTGCCAGATCGGTATGGCTCAGGGGTATCAGGGCTGTGGGCTGGGGACATGACCTGGGTTCTGTGCCAAATGGCACTGTCAACACCCGTGCTGGTGCCAGCTACCACCCCAGCTGGCACCAGGTCTGGCTGCAGGCTCTTGCCCTGCACTGGAAACCTGAGGGTGCCCAGGCATTGGTGCCTTGTCCCCTTTGTGGCTCTGCATCTCTGGCCATGGGGACAGGCTGGTTCTTACGTCCAAAAGGCACAGTCTTCAAGCAGCCCTAAACCTACTCCCTTTCCCCAGTGGCCCTGAACTTCCAGACTGCTGGCATGGAGATGGACCTGTGTGATGGGCTCTTCAGCCAGAATGGCCGCTGCGGCTACGTGCTCAAACCACCCTTCATGAGAGACAAAGACACTCTCTTCAACCCCAGTGACCCTGACAGCCGGGAGGGTCCTGGCCCCACTACTCTGACAATCCAGGTATGGGCCTGAGGAGAGACCCTGGGGAGCTGTGACAATATTCTGTGGCTCTGTTGGTCCCAGCTGAGTGGGGACACTGCAGAGCCAAACAGGTTCCCTGCAGATGGGTTCAGCTGCTCCCCAGCTCACTGCCCCTTCCTGCAGGTGATCAGTGGGCAGCAGCTGCCAAAAGTGGCCAACAGCAAGGACGGAGCCATCATCGACCCACTGGTGCGTGTGGAGATCCATGGGGTCCCTGCTGACCAGGCACACCAGGAGACCAAGCACATTGAGAATAATGGTGAGCTCCACTGTGGTACTGGGGACCCTGCTGCACTCAGGCAGCCCATCCCCGCTCTCCCTCATTCTCCCAGCACCAACTCTCCATTCCCAGGGTTTAACCCCCACTGGGATGAAACGCTCCAGTTCCAGCTCCATGTACCTGAGCTGGCCCTTGTCCGCTTTGTGGTGGAAGATTACGACAAGACCTCCAGGAATGACTTTGTGGGCCAGTTCACCTTAGCCTTCACTAACATCAAACCCGGTGAGCAGCTGCTGCCCAGTGGTGGTGGTCGGTCAGGGCAGCCGCACAGGTGTGTCTGGGTTCAGTTAGGTGCTAGAGAGCAGGGCAGGGGGCAGCCATCAGCTAGAGCCTTGCTCTTCCACCTGCAGGCTACCGCCACATCCATCTCCTCTCCAAGGATGGCACCAGCATCCCACCCTCTTCACTCTTCGTCCACATCCGCATCACTGAGCCACCCAGCCCTGAGCAGGACTGAGCCTGTGGGCCAAGAAGGACCTGGATGGAAGCCATAGAGCCGGCCCCGAGCAGCTGGGGCTGTAGAGCCAACCACATCGCCCTCTTGCTGAGCTGTTTGTGTCATCCCTGTGTCGTCATTCTCTGCTGTGCCCCCAGTTGCAGTAGCCTCCAAGAGCTGGGAAAAGGCACTGACCTCTCCTTCCCAGGTCTGGGACACTGCCTCCCACGCATGAGTGTGGGGTCTGCAATGGTACAGCCCACCCTGGCCCACAGGCATGGCTTGGCCATGAGGAGGGGGAGAGATGTTGCACAGCACCCCACAGCCACAGGGGCTGGTCCCCACTGGCCAGGGGAGCAAGGCTGGAGCCAAGCAAACCACAGGGCTGGGCAGAACCAGGAGAAGAGTTGGTTCTCACTGCCCTCAACCCTGCAGAGTCCTACCACAGCCCCAAGGCTGCTCCTGGCTGGTGCCCGTTACTAACCCTTGATATGTCCCTTCTCTGTAAATGACTTAATAAATTGTTCAGTGACAGACAGGTTTGGGTCTAGATGCAGTGGCACTGGGGACAGGGATGGAGCTTCTGTTTGTGCTCTCTCCTGGCAGGCATCTGCCCCACGGCTCATGCAGAGCTCCAAACACCCCAAAGGAAAAGGATTGAAAGGAGCTCAGAGATTCCTTTTATACAGCCACATATTTTACATCTCATATACATATATGCCTATACACACACACACATCTCTGCAGCACACCTGTGCCACTGGGGCCTTGAAGCAGGAAGGATTCGGCCTCATTGGGAAGCACCATCCTTCTCTGTAGGGCACCCTCCTTCCTGCTCCATGCCAGGGGGGCCCTCAGACCGGCTCTCCTTCTGCACAGCTTGGAGATGGACAGTGGGCATGCTGGGGTCTTTGCCCACCCCCTGGCTGGGGTCGCTGGCTCCACGCTCGGGGTGATGCCTCTGGATGTGTTTGATGACCTGGAACTTCTGTTTGGCCTTGTAGGGGCAGTAGCGGCAGAAGAAGGGGTGCTCATTGGTGTGGGTCAGGTAATGGTGGCGCAGGCCGGCAGCCCAGCGGAAAGCCCGTCCGCAGGCGTTGCAGACATAGGGCTTCTCCTCGCTGTGCTTCTTCAGGTGTGTCTTGAGGAGGAAGCGGGTCTTGAAGGCTTTGCCACACTGCTCACAGATGAAGGAGCGGGCCTCCCGATGCCGAGTTTCCTTGTGCACCCGCAGGGCATCTGCCCGGTTGGTGCAGTACTCACACTCATCGCAGCGGTACGGCTTCAGGCCTGCAGCGACGGGGAAAGGGCTGGGATGGGGGCACGGTGCCCTCCCTCTGGTGTATCTCACCATCCCCGTGACGGCAGCAGTTCCCAGGGACCCCCCTACACATCATCCTTGGTGCTGGGAGGGCGCAGCCTGCCAGCAGGCACCTCAAAACCCCCCATTTCCAAAGCACCATGCCTTGGCCCCTGGAGTCCGTACTGCCCACCTTCCCTTCTGCCCTGGGGTGCTGTCCCCAGCTCACCAGCACATGAGAACATGTTGTCCCCTCAACTGCTGGGGGTCCTCCCCTGCCTTTGGCTGGGCTGCTGATAGCAAAGGAAGCATGGAGCTGGGGTCGCTGCAGCCCCAGTACCCTCCCTGGTGCCCCATGACCCGTGCCCAGCGGGCACCACTTACCTGTGTGCTTTGTCATGTGGTACTTGAGCTGGTTCACCCACTTGCACTTGTAGCCGCAGTCAGGGCAGAGGTATTTCCGCTCCTCCTTGTGGATCCGCATGTGGTACTGGGCACAGAGTAAGACGGGCAGGGTCAGAATGAGGCCACGTTCCCTGCCCTAGGAATGTGCAGGGTCCTGGGGTGTCTGTGAGGGGCTTAGTCAGCTCTGACACCTCAAACTGCATGAGGCAAGGAGGGCTGTCTGCTTGCCTGGCAGACTACGGGCCAGGGTGAGACCCCCACACTGCTGAGCTTGCTCTGTCCCAGGCTGCAGAGGGGTGCAGGCTTTTCTCCCCAGTTTGGTATTTGGGGCAAAGTCCATGTTAAAACCCAGCCCAACAGAGCTAGCTCTGAGCTGAGTATCTTGTGCAGCCTGGCCCAGGAGGCCACAGATGGCTCCAGCTCAGCCTGGTCATTAAAAAAGTCAATATTTCTTTTAGCAAAACCAGACCATTTCCTCTCCATTACCCCATGCCCGGCCCTCCTGTTCTAGAAAAGGCCCTTTTACCATGCATGATGATACTAATTACCTACAGAAATGAGGGCAGGGTCTCTGACTCTAGTTGCAGGAAAGCTGAACTTTTCTTGCACCGAGTCTAACTGGTGCCACACAGCATGCTGCAGGCCAGCAGACAGCCAAGCTTGACTTTAAGTGGTGCAAGGCTGCACCCAGAGGATGCTAGAGACTTCAGTGGGAAGAGGAGCGAAGTTGGACAGCTGCCTACCTTCTTGGTTTGCTACAGATCCCCCTTCCCCTTAAACTGCAACAGTGGGGAGCAGCGAAGAAATATATTTTACCCACAGCAGTTTTATCTGTGCACTTCCCATTCCTGTATGAGCCACAGAACAGGACAGAGGACAAAACATCTCCTTGGGAGTTTCTTCTTTCCCAAATTCCCCTGTCTGGATCCCTCCCAGCCCATGTAGATACAGTAGGATATAGCCCCTGTGCCCAAGCAGGGCTCTCACCTTGAGACGCGAAGGGTCGGCACAGGCGTATTTACAGAGGTGGCACTTGTAGGGCTTCTCGCCAGTGTGGATGCGGATATGCCAGGTGATCTTCTGCCTGTTCTTGGTGGTGTATTCACAGTCTGAGCACTTGTACACGCGGGTGCCCCCATGGCCCTTCATATGCTGGTCGAAGACGAGCTGGTGGCAGCAGGCGAAGTCGCAGAAAGGGCAGCGCAGGGGTTTGTCCTGGGGGGTGGCTGGTTCGTGGCTCTCCACGTAATGCCGCACCAGCTGCTGCCGCTCCTTGGCTGCAAAGCTGCACAGCTCACAGCGGTGGCTGAAGTGCTGCGTCTTGTGCTCCTCCAATGCCTCCCGGGTGGGAAAGGTCTCCTTGCAGGTGCTGCACTCCAGGTGTGGGTGCTGCTTCTGCACGTGGCACTTGAGCGTGGCTTCACTGTGGCACATGAAGCCGCAGCGCGGGCAGCAGTAGGACACCTTCTCCTCGTGCCGCCGCAGGATGTGCTGCTTGAGAGCCGTCTCGGAGCTGAAGTGCGCCTCGCAGCGAGAGCAGCCGAAGTTCAGCTCTCCCCGGTGGCAGCTGTTGACGTGGCGGGTGATGTCGTTCTGCAGGTAGCTGCTGTAGTCGCAGAGCGGGCAGAAGTGGGTGGGCGTCTTCTCGTGCACCCGCAGGCGGTGGATGCGCAGCTTGGAGTTGGTGCCGAAGGTCTGGCTGCAGATGCCGCAGGCAATGCGCCCCACGCCAGTGTGCAGGGACTGGTGGGCCTCCAGCCGGTAGCGCCGCGTGGTGCTGAACTCACAGTAGAGGCACTTGTGGGGCTTCACCCCCTCGTGCTTGATGCGGACGTGCTGCCGCAGGCAGCGGGCCTGCTTGCAGGTGAACTCACACTGGTGGCACTGCAGCTGCGGCCGCTTGCTGTAGTGCTTGCGGTGCAGCTTGCGGTGCAGCCGCAGGGCTTTGGCCACCTTGGAGGTGAAGGGGCAGGAGGTGCAGCGAAACTCACCCAGCACCATGCAGCCCCTCTTCTTGTGTGTCTTCATGGCCCGTTCCTGGTGGCAGGTGAAAGGGCAGGTGGGGCAGGAGAAACGCCTTCTCTTGGGCAGGGCAGATCTGGGGGAGGCTGCATTCAGTGGGGGCTTGCTGGGCTGGCCTGTCTCAACACTGGCCTGGTCCCCTTCAGGGAGCTCAGTGCTTTGGGGTCTGTCCTCCTCTGGATGCACCACGTGCTTTTCGGCACAGTGACTCTTGAGGGCCCGCCGGGAGTGGAAGGCCTCAGGGCACAGGGAGCACCAGAACTGCTCCAGGCCCCGGCACCCATCCTCCACATGGGAGGTGATGGTGGAGACACGGGAGCACACAAAGGAGCAGGCGTTGCAGTGCAGCTTCCCGCCCTCCAGCCGGTATTTCTCTGAGGGTTTCCCAGGCTGGAGGGGACAAGCAGCTCCACCTGGGTTATCTCCATCCCTTTGCTGAGGAGGCTCTTCTGCCACCTCTGTGCTGTCACCCAGCAGGTTTTTTTCAGGGGCAGGACAGCCTGAGGTCTGTTCCCCAGCCAAGAGACTGCCTGCTGCCTGCATTTTATCAGTCATCAGTTCAGCTTCCCAGCAGCTCTCAGCATGCCCAGATTCCTCCAAGCCTCCCCTCTTGCTCTCCACCATTTCTGTACCATTATCACCAGGCTGGTCAGCAGGTTGGCACAACCCAGGTGGCTCCTGACCAGCTGGTTTGAGGATCTTGTTCTTCTTCATGAGGACTGGGCACTTCTTGAGGAGGTGGGTGTTGAGCCCCCTTTGCTGCTTAAACCTGGTGCCGCACTCGCGGCACACGAGGGGGGCCCGGCGGCTCTGGCAGCTGCCTTTGGAGTGCAGGGACATGGACTTCTCCTTCCGTGTGATGTACGAGCACTTCTCACACTTAAAGATCTGGCTCTCTGACTGTACCACCAGCATCTGCACCCTGCCCTCCAGCACCAGCGTCTCCGCCTGCTCCTTGTCCTGCTTCCGCAGTGCCTTCAGCACCAACTCTGAGCCACCTCTGGCATCATCAACAGAGACAGCCACCTCCTCTGGGACGGGCATGTGGCTCTGCTCAGCCGTCTTCATCACACTGAGCCAGACCCCTGGCAGGTCGGCTTGACTGGTCTCTCTCATTTCAGTGTCTTCCACCAGCTTCTGGTGGTCCGAGCTTGACTCCTCAAGGTGACCCGTTGCCTGCCTCAGAGGGTCTTTTTCCTGGCTGTCTCCTGCTGCTTTTCTGTCTTTCAGCCTCACTGCCTCATCCTCCTGTACATTTGCCTCCTCTTCCTCAAAGTCTGGGATGTCTTCAAGT